CACACACACACACACACTGGTGGAGTGAGTAGTAGAAATACTATACATAAAATACACGAAAGACTGACGTGTCCCATTTGTGCCTGTTTGAAGCTGTACAATGTCGGCACTGGCAGCTGTGCCGACTACCCCCGAGGGCAGGGACTGCAGGGTGGGGCCATGAACATAGCACCATGCAGTGGGACGGGCAACCAGGTAACCATGACAACAGTTGTGAAAGTTGAAGAAAGACAGGTGACATACAGTGGCAAAAATGATCTCTCTTGTCACTGCAGCACTGCGATCTAAACTCTGAGCTTGAAGTGCGCTGGGGTCCCATGGGGGCTTTGTGTTTGGACGCCAGGGGAGAGAGGGTGGTCCTATCTCCGTGCCCCATACACCGACCAACGACCAGCGGACTCCAGTGGAAGTTCATAAAGGCAAGGCAGAGAATTAAACTTGTTCTGTCATATATCGGAATAGATGTATGTGGTCACTAACTCAGTGTCTTTTTGCTTCAGCTGAGTGGTCAGCTTGTTCACCAACAGTCCCAGTTGTGTCTGGAAGCCGTAAAGGAAGGAGGGCCCCCACAAAGCAGCCCAACAGCAGTCAACACCAACAAAGGAGGTCTCTTCCTGCGCCCCTGCACCCATCACCCCAGACAACAGTGGCACTTTGAGCAACTAGTTGCTCCTAAAGGTGCCTGAAACTTTTTTGCGAGATGTAAATCCAATATAGTAGCATACAGTAGTGAAATGGTGTAGAAAAATACATAAGTATATCGTTTTTTGCTCCACTTTGCCACTCTGCTCATTTGTTCCTGTTTTAAGGATTGCAAATACAATGTATTGTGTTAAATAAGAAACAAAAGATCATCTAAAATAATAAAAAAACAACATATGATTATGTTGTCTCTATTTAAAACTGTTTTTTTATTAGAATCTATAATTGTATTGTATCATATTTATGTACATTTAATCATATACAATGTGAAAAGCACAAAGAGAAAATTGTATTAAATGATATTTTACTTCAGAAAAATGCTTTTATTAATTCATGTTTAAATGTATTTGTTTTGTCCTGAAAAACCAAAGTATTCAGCCTACAGAGTCACATTAAAAAAGAATTAATCTCTGAGGTTGGATGGAAATTATGTAATTATTAAGGAGAATTAATAGTAGTAGACAGCACCAAAGATATGTATGTTGGTTATCCTTATGTTTCACTGTCAGTAATTCCTCCAAATTATCCTCAGTCTTTGGTAGATTGTTGTTAAATAAGTCAATTAAATAGAATTTGTTCTGAAACAAAATGTCTCTCTTTATCTTAAATGCAATTAGAAAAAAAGATAGGTACAAACTAACATATATACAACAATTACAGCTTAATCTATGAATATAAACCAGAAGGCATTTATTATATGAAGGACCTACCTCTTTTATACTTTTGTGTTCTTTTGGTCTGGGTCTGTTTTTCATGGTTTGGGCTACTCAACTTCAATGACAGTCAAGATGATACTTCCAGCATTTGGAAATAACCATTCCTGTTTAAACAATAATCCCATTGTGCCAAAATCTTGTGAAAAGCCTTTCCAGAAGAGTTGTGGCTGTTATTATTCTACTATTGTGAATATTTACAGTATAAAGTGAATATATTCTATTATTCACTATTCTAGTCTATTGACTAGCTAACTGGTTCCCAACCTGGGGGTTCTGACCCCCACTAGGGGTCGCCAAAGCTTCACCGGGGGTTCATGAGGCCTTCTTGATTTTAGGAGTGAAAGAGAAACTTTAAAAAATAAAAATACAGTAGGCCTATCTCTGTATTTCATTATTTTTGTGAAGAAATTAAATTGTTATTAAAGTTCAGAATATTATTTAAGAAACCTTTTTAAATCTCACAGGATGAGGGGCACAGTGAAGACCTGAACACAACCTATATTCACAGGGCCTTCACTCTCTGAACAGCCTTGTCCAGTATCATAAAACTAAACAGTTAAAACAACCAAAGACCTGATAGAACAAGCGTGTCAGGAAGATGCAAATACTGAATCTGAGAAGAGAAGCCTATTAAGTATGATTGTTAGAAATAAAAAAATACATAATATAGACAGAGAATTGTAATAAAAGTTGCTAAAAATAACAGTAAACAATAAATGCTAATCTGTGATGTGGAAATAATCTGCTAATCTGTTAATTTGTGCTTTTTTAATTGCACAGTTTATTCTGTTCTGTTATTGTTATGTATTGAATTTAATATGAATTATTAATAAAATACTCACTTAGTCAGGGGTTGTCAGCTTACGCAGTGATGGAACCACTGTATTAGATGTCTCAGGGAACTATTCTTTTACATTTCATAGCAGGAAAAGCATAGGCATTACTAATAGTATTTACAACGGTTCTGTTATATTTAAGTGTCCCAGTAAGCCATAACAGTGTGGGAGTGAACCAGCATGTACAATACAAGGACCCTGAAGCTGAAGCAGCGAAATAGAATGCAGCCATTTGAAGTTTTATAATTTTCACCTGTGCTGTTGCTACTCTGACAAAATGTCCTCTGTGAAAACCTAACAAAACCTAACAAAACCTAGAAAAAACTAACAGGAGAGAGTATCAGTCTGCACACACCCACACAGTCCTGATAAGATGTTATAAGCATTATAAGCAAAATAAGTGAAAGCACCTGTGTGACAGAACCATCATGTAGGGTTTTGCAGGAATAATTAAACACTGATTAGTCAGTAATTAACCACCCCAAAAATGTTATATTCTAAAATGTTTTATTCTTTCTTAATGTGTTTGGAGTCATTGCACTCTTGCACTCATCATTTTTACAATGTACATGAAGTGTCTGTATATAAGTATATTCATATCTTATCAGCTGTCAACAGCAGAGGGAGCCATCTGCCTTCATAATCTTTTCTAAAGCCCCAACTGATCTCTGTAATTGTTATACTTGAATAAGCCTCCCACAAAAGTTACTTATGTGAATTCCCGTTAAGATGTTCTCACATAAACCTTCTGTTGTTGGAGTTAACATAATTATGCTGTAAGTCTACCATGTGACAGTAATGTCCTGAAGTGCATGTGACTGATGGGAGTGGAGGCCTTTTGTAACGGGCAATGGCTGTGATTAACAAGCGGACAACAGTGTTTTTGTGTCCAAGTATCTACTGTAACTCACAGTCCGATAGAAAAAAGAAGGTGTTTTTTACGCCATACAGCCCAGGAGGTTAGGATGACAACTGGCAGGCAGGGAGGACCCTGAGCTCATCCTCAGTAACCCTCTCCTTGCCCCCAGGCACTGAGCGCTAATAACCCCCTATACTCCGTCACAGTAATGCTCTTCATAATGCACTTAGCCCATTGAACCTTTTTAATACAAAACAATCATATGGTATGTCTGCAGCTTTGAGGCATAGGTCAAATACTTTGACAAACAACATGTTTTCAGTATGTCTTGTCCCAGTTACATAACTACAGGCTACTGAGCTGTTACTGTTAAACTGGTAACATCTCTCTGCTTTAGGTCTTCAGAGGATGGCAAAAGGTCACAGATTTCTATGGCTAATTTCACTGTGAAAAGCAAGCCATGTTTGCCCAAACGATTGCAAGGTGTACAATGCCTGTTTAGACTTTTTCTAATACAATGGATTTCCTCAATACTCTATGGTGGATTGGAGATTACTCTAGTTTTTATGCAAAACTACCCTCCAAATTCACAAATTGTTCTTTTTTCATTTCTATAACTGACCCCCAAAATGAGTTCAACTTCACACAGAAGGATAACATTTATGCACTATTTTGTTAATGAATGACATTTTGGCAAATAAAAGGTATGTATATATATTTCTTGATGCCAATTAGAACATTTAGAACTCAGAATATTTCCTTTATTGATGTAGTAGCAAGGCTTTATTGTCAGTCACCTTCATCAGATGTGCAAGCTCAGTTTCTGACACAGGGTTTCCACTTAAATACTTTTTTTCATTGTGGGTTTTATCGTGGTGAGAATAAAAGGAGGGAAAAAAGTCATATTTGCAGAGAGTAGACTAACCCATGATTTGTTCATAAAACCTGTGCTATCTTGTCAGCACCATGCTAACAAGATGGACCTGTGAAAAGAAAAAAAAAATCAAAGTGACAAAGGAGCTGAGATTTCAGTCCTGACACCCCTGTTGAAAACTCCTGTTACTGCCTGTTTTGTGACTTCAATCCTATAGCCTGTAGGGATGTCTGATGTCACTTTGTATCACAGACTATGGTGAGATGTGTGAAAATGTCCCGGTAGATGACATGCTACATTACAAAACGCTTGTTCGAAAGGGACTACAGTATATTTGATGGCTATAACATATGGCAACTGAGAGAGCTGTCATTTAGTGGCAGCCATTAACGTCCAATAAAGACAATGGACATTTTAAGACTTTTTGATAAATGTTAGAAACAAGCTGATATTGAAATTTCATATAAAATGGGGGAAAACTGAGAACTAAGAGGACAAAATATCTAGAATATCAAAATTTCTCCATTGGATTTTACTGCAAAAATCTCCTTCTGTCTACATTCAAATGCTCCTTTTCCTGTTCTCCCCCTCTGTGGATGCATGCAACCTTTTGCCTGTCCTCCCGGCCCCTCTGTCTCCCACCGCCAGCATCTTCCATCTCATCTCCATGCTGAGGTGAAGGTGATAAATACAGTAAACACCCACATCAAACGCTGATGGCCACTGGATATGACACATTCTCACCAGTCTTTTTGTTCTTTCCTTATCATTCCCACGCCCAAAGCACACACATATACACACACACACACACATCTTCTAGGGGAACCTGGGAGACTCAGATGGATGTCAGCTGCTGTGGTGCAGGAAGCCGTGGCCTCTTTATGAAGATCCATGGGGCTATTTCACCCAGGACGGAGGTGGCTGTACTTACTGTGTGCTCCTTAAAGAGCCTTGGGTCTTCTGTACACAGACAATGTTGTTTCCAGTGATTCGTAATGTGCTTGTAGTGCAATTAGGTCTTTGTGGATGGGCCTCAGGAGCTGGTGCTGACACTGAGCAAAGATTAAGTGCATCAAAATGTGACAAAAACTTGGCTTGCAGCAGCAATTAAGGTCAGAGACAAAAACGGCTTTTGAATGTTTCGCTTAGAAAGTTCCTGGTGACACAAACACTTTATAAGCACACCCGTTAAATTCTGAATCTGTGTTTTAATGATACATTTATTTGTGTAACACATCAAATACTTGAAAACAGGTCTCTGAGGTCAAAAAATACATCTTTACTTATTTCCCTACATGGAGAAGGGTGGAGTTCAGATATAAGGGGTGGTAAACAGGTGGTGATATTAGGATTAATCTGCAAGATCATAAATTGAAAAGTAATGGTGATAAAAACATGAATAAAAAGAAAGAAGTTGCTCTTAAATTTAAACTTGTATATATGGAAATTAATGATTTGATAAACATCTTAAGTCTTTATCACACTCTCTCTGTATGTCATTTATCACACCCATTAGCATTTGGGAGAGCATTTATTGTTTAGCATGTCAGCCTGTGTCAACCATAAGCAATGCCACAACCCTTAAGTGGACAGTGCAATATAAAGCTTTGCACATGGAAGTTTTTAATTAGTTGTCCTTCAGCGTCACACTTGTTCAGCCAGTGGTTATAAAAGAAACCACGAGGGGTATAACACAATACAC